CGCCAGCGCCTGGCGCGGCCGGCTCAGGCCATGGCCGCCTCCTCTCGCCCCCTCTCGGACGAGGCCTTGTGGGGGCGCCGGGGGCAGAGACTGTTGGTGGCTTCATGACGGCTATATCGGCTGTTGATGTCATAGATGAGAGAATGCGAATAAATAATAATAGTAATAATAATAATAATAATAATAATCGTAATAATATTCTATATGTTTAAAACGGTAAAGGTTTTCAATTGAAAAAATGTAAACATTCTACTCAACCAAATTTCGTAATTATTTTGTGTAAATGATTGGTTGTGAGCTCTAGATGTGTGTGCTCTTGGTGTTATTGACACGTTTCATTCAGTAAAAACACTACATTTTTATATCTTAAAATTAATATAATGAATGCTTATCTCTCGTCAGTTGTTCATTACGTCGTTTTCAAAGCACACTACATTCCGTGTAGTTTGTTGTCTAATAGTTTTGTCTTGCGAATTCGTGACAATAATGTTTTGTAAGCCGCGGTCCCTGTACGAGGTTCGGTGACCATGATTTTGCATCTACTGGTAACGGTAGACGATCGGTAACGGCTCTGCCCGTTGTTAGCGGCTCCCTCAACAGCTATTAAGATCGCTGAATGGACGTTGCGCAGATGGAAACATCTCGCATTAGGTGCTGTCTGTTCGCCTTCGTCATGCTTGCCTTGTTGGACATTGGAACGATTGTTCTGAATTCAGGGGCTAACGTCCATTGAATGGCAGAAACTTACGCGCCTTGTTATCGTATATGCTTTCTAAGTGTGAGTATGAGGTATAAAATGAACTGCGAGCTTTGACGATTTCATCAAGAATTGCAAGAGGTTACGGTTTCTTTGAAGAAAACGGATTTTTTGTAAATACGTGATCGTTACATAACTATAAACGAATAAACAGTGATGAACAGTGATAAACAGTGATGAACGAATACATTGAATACACTATAGTTTAATAATTGCTGATATCACATTATGCCTTTTTATACTGCTTCTGTTGTAGTATATTATTTTAAGGGCTTTGGATTTGAATTTTTCTTTGTTAAATACTCCTTATTGCTTTACTGTTATAATTGTGGTTGAGGCTATAAATTGCTATGAATTTTGCTGATTGTGCTTGAAGTAACGTCTCTTATACACAGTGTAAATCATTTTCCATTTCAACTGGTAATAAAGAAAGCTTTTTTAACTTTAAATTTCATTATTGAATACGTATTCCTAGCGATTCATTGACTTGTGGGCATCGTATGGAATGTGTTTCTTATTAATTGGGAGAAATATTGACAATAAAAAGCCGTCTAAGGCAGATGAGTCCGACAAGAGAAAGCATGATATGTTTAAGAAGAACTCTATTTTTTAGAAGTGTCTGAAAAAGGAAAGGATCACAGGTCACAACTTGAGGCTATCATTAATCAAGGATGACGGTAGAACTTTCAAGTGAGAGGCGGTCTGTGGTTCAGATATACGAACTAGAGTGCTCTCAAACGGTTCCACTCTCTGAAGTAATAACACGTTTCGTAGTCAAATAAGGAATCGCCGGATAGCTACAGAAAATTAAGTGGACGTTTCCGGTGAATGCCGAAGATAAATGGAGATGTCACTGCATGACGGAAATGCAATATTTTTGTAAATATTTTTTTTTCTTGACGATGGGATTTATTTCAGTTAATTTCGCTTCTTGTTGAAAATACCACAGCGCTAAATGTACAACACGAACATGCAATTCCTCTCTCTCATTCAACAGAAAAAGAGAAACAGATTTAGATGGACACCCTTGCGTGAATTGTGTCTTTCAAATGATATTAAATTTAATTTACACTAAAGCCAGATGGTGCACAGAAATGTCGAACGTGGGGTCAACAGTGGAACCCAGAATGAACATTGCAATGTAATTGAAAGAAAAAAACGTTGTGGTATGACGCTGTCCAACCCCCTCCCCATTGGTATGCAAATGTTGCAAATGAGACCTTAAACAAAAGTATGGAAGTGGTCACCTACTAATGACTCACGCTTCTCATAGATTCAGGAACTAATAGAAATTATGTGTAACCTACAATTTAGTATTTCATACTGCTTGTATTCATCTCAGAGTGTGATGCCATGTTACTTACGGGGATCTGATATTATTTATTTCATTTGCTGTTAAGTTTATCCCTCAGATTTACTATGGATTAGCAAATGTTCCTTCAAGCTAACAGAACTCTTCCTCGTTTGCCTGACGATGCGAATATCGTGGCACATGAGGCTTTTAGGTTAGAATCGTTTTGCGTGGGAGTCGTTGCCGGAAGACTGGCATGATGGCAGATAGGAACGTGAGGCTGTTGACATAACACTCCCTGGAAGGTCGTGAACTTTCAGGCGCAGTCGAGAAGATCTGGCCTGTTACAGGTTACTTTTACCTTTCCAGTATGCAAAGGCAGAAAAGGTCCTCTTCTTGGATTTCTCTTCGAAATGTTAGTTGTACATGTCATTTTAACATTTTGAACAGATACATGGTGTCAAGCCATTATGCTAATAATGTACGCGGTGACAGGTCTTAGAAAAGTTTTATGATGATAATGCAGTGTTGGCAGAGAAGGTATTGCAAGATCGTGACTATGCGAAAGAAAAGATTGATCGATGAATTATAAATTTAAGAATTAATTGATCTATCATGAAGGGACCTAATAGTTTATCGCAATATTATGAAAGAGTGGGCGATAGTTTCTTCCTGTTATACAGTCCTTGCCCTTTCACTGTTAGTCACGTGCACCTAAAACACAATGTATTGTGTACCCTCTGTTGATTAATGAAGACGGCGAGAGTAAAAGCAACCATCTAGAATGAAATACGATACTTGACCACTGATTAACATGATCCGTTCGCGAAGCTGAGCGATATGGTCCTAAAGGTTAGGGTACAAAGCGTTTCCTGTATCTCTCCATATGAATTATTAACTTCATTAATAAAAGTGTGCGAACAAGAGACAGCAGAGAAAGCCTATGAATACAAGAGATCAGTTAATCCGAAAATTATTAAAGATTCAATGACGATACGAACGCAACGGATGTAATGTGTTATTGTAACCTTTTTCTCAACCTTAGGATACACGACCCTTCTAATATTTCCCACTTCATTTTTTTCGGACCTCTTTTTTATTTCTTGTCCTTTCCACAGCTCTCCACGTATATCTCTGATAAATCTGTAATCACCGATTCTATAATCAGAAGTCAAACTGCTTCCTCGCGCAACATTGTAATGGTCATCAATAGAGCCTGGAAGTTTGTAAAAATGCCTTTTTATTATTGTTGGGATTTTAAGAATTTTAACAATAAGAATTCCTTAATTGTACCTATAGTAGAATATTTGTATTTTTCCTATTTTAGCTTCTGATAAATATTTTTGGTCTTACGTTAGTTTACCCTTTTTTCCCCTTTTTCATTATTTACTTTTTTTCTCCTGGCACCGATCTCGAACGAGCTGGAAACATACCTGAGCATTAAGAAGGCATTGTGGCATTTTGTCTTTCTCTACAAGCGCGGGAAAATGAGAAAAAAGATGATACCAGTCAGAATGTTTGAATTTCTTTCATTAATGCCGACATACTTTATTTGCTCACGACCTTTAAGTTCGGCCTTCGAGGTCAGAGCTGTCTGTACTTTATATTCGAAGCGGTGCTTATCAGTACTGGCGATTACACAAGTGCAAAGAACGAAAACAATAATCCCGTTGCCATTCCAGGATTTAAACGTGAGCCCACAGTAACTTTTCATAGAGAGAGCGTCGCGAGAGAAACACGTTCGTCGTGCCCATATCAAAATTTAGTGTGCCAAAGAAATCATTATCAGTAGTAAAAACTCAACATGAATCTATCTGATGAAAAAAGTGCCCATGTGCAATGAAAATTACAGAGTAAATATCTTATCCTTGCATGTAAATACCAATGTAAATTATATTATAATATGAAATTTCAATCATTTTAATTATATATTTTTACAATAAATTACGATTTCAGTTTTTAAATGGTGTTTTTTATAGTTTACGTGTCCTTTTTGCACCCCATTTGTAGCCAGAATAATAGCCTTTTTGCATGCTTAGTTTAGGTAAACAAAATGCTTGGACTTTCTGGCTATAGTCGTCAATTTAGTCAGCAAAACATCAGTCACTATATTTTGATAATGTAGATGGCTTAAACATAGTCATCTAATGATAAATAAATAAAGATATTGTCTGGTATCAATATTTTAATTCAGCTTATGATCGCGTAGCGATCATCCTCAGAGCTTGCAGCTTCTGGGCCGAAAACAAAGTTCTGAGGATGATCTCTACGCGATCATAAGCTGAATTAAAATATTGATACCAGACAATATCTTTATTAATTTATCATAATAAAAAAGGTATCTACCTCACCAACAATCCAATTAATAAGTCATCTAAATTATGATCACTTCCATTTTCAATATATTGTCTTGTAGCAGACAAGTTGAAACCACGATCGATGTACTTACTACACACATTATTATATGTTATGTTCATTAACTGTGTATTAATTTAAATAGTAATAATTTTGCCCAGTAAAAGAATATAATGTTGAATTATGTAAATCTCTAAAGGGGTTGGTCTTTTTAAAAATACACGTTTTCATTATTCATTACTTAATACAATAACTTAATACTTACAATAACACATTACCTAGATTTACTTCATACAAACTCCGTCCACAAATATATGTGTACATTCATTTGTAGCAATGTATTAACTACCGCAACCTTACTTCCTCCACGCCCCAATTCCCCTCCTATGCCTTCCCCTTGGAGTTCGCGGAAGGGCACATAGCGGCCGGCGCTTGCAGACGCAGTCAGTTCCTGTGCTAAGGTCGGCGAACGAGAACCTGAGAGAAGGCAGAGCCAAAGTATACAGCGGTTTTTGTGTGATACGTGTATCTTATTTCTGAGCAAACGGATCAGTAAATACGTACTAACATATTTGGTATTGTTCTCAGTGATCGGAGCCACAAGAGACGCAAGGAAATAGGAAGAATCAAGGAGGCAAACGGAAGTGAGAATGCGGTGAGTACTTTTTACGACTCCCTTGTAAATTATCACATATAGTTTTTGACGTCACTAGGCCCGTAAACAGTCAACCGATTCCATTGTTTATAGACCGTGTGTTATATATTTTTCGTAAAACCGCCTCCTTATAAGAAAAGAATAGTAAGAACAAGAAATACCGTTTCTTGGAATAAGTGCTCTCAAACCCATCTTTAGCTAGCTCATTTGTTTCGATAATACGTAACGTACGCTGGACGTTAAGAGAACCTTTTCTTTTCTCTGGTTGCTTTAAGTCGATATAACAGTTACGAAAACTATTCTTTTCAGTTACCTTCCAATGTTTATCAGTTAATATATGCCTCTCTGCTAATGTATGCTCCATAAGTCAGTGGCGGCTGCTCCTTAAGTACGCAACAGCGGCGTCCACCTCAGAAAAATCAATTACGAGAAAATTATCAGATGGTATTTAAACCTGCACTAAAATCGACTTGTTTAATTTGTGCATACCACCAGGGCAAGTTTTTGAGAGCGAATATAATGTCATGCGCCAGCGTCAACGTATGATCAATGTTTTTTAGAATCCACTGCATCGTGGACTATCGCGTCACCGTCCGTAGCCGGCGTTTTCGGCAATTGGAAGCATGAGTGGGGTACTGAAAGTTGGTGAGGGAAGGGTGTTGCTACATTTTGTTCGGGGGAGTACGTACCTATTGACTAAGAATATCGTTGTTTCCATCTAATTTCATAAATTACTTTCTGCTGCTAATATTTGAAAAGAAAATAACAATACGATGTAAGTAACATATAAAGGAATATATGTAAAATATGAAAATAGTTTGAAAAGTAACAGTTTAGAGTTTTTGTGAACATATTTATATCTTGTTATCAAGGTAAAAGTTGTCTTAGTCAAGTAAGTATTACAATCCCATGGTTTGCAATTCGAACGTAAACTACATGCTTTAGTTTGCCCTCATTCAAGAAATATTTTGAAGAGGCAAAAATGTATGAGATTGTTCCGACTCACATGTCGCCCGTTCCTAGTTCACAACCTACCGTTCGCTATGTGTCCGTAAGCATAGAAATTGCATGCGATTTCGATGATGTTTTCAAAACATCGCATATTTTCATTAAAAAACATTGATATATTTAACATCAGTTTTTTAAAGTCAATATTTTTACATGTATATTTTGTGTTCGGTGTTCTTACGTAGACGATTTTTTTAAATTTTTGAATCAAAAATGACATAATAGGGAAAAATAATATTAATTTTCGGATATCAATAAATTTTACATTCTTTCAGACCAATGTGAACAAGATGAAAATGAGTAAAAATCGTCCATAAACGTAGTTACTTTCGTCCATAAACGAAATAAATTTTACTTTTTAATATCCTATCAGATAAATTTTTTTGATTGTTCTGATAATTTTTGTGACTGTTTTGTCAGTGAACTTTCTAGTATTAGTAAACACGGTTAGTTAAATTACCCTCACCGCGCATTTATTAATGTTGCAGGTTTTAAAACACCAGGTTTAAAAATAAAAAAAGATAAGGAAAACACCGACTTGCATAGCCGAGGTCGCTATGGCTAAAGGGCCGTGACTGCCTTGGCTCGAAGGGTCGCGGTTTCGAATCCCTCCCGGGTGTTCATTTTTGGGTATGTGTTTCCCTTACCTTTACCACGATAGGTGTAAACCAATGTTTAAAAAATTACACCAATCGCTTTTAGACCAGTGCAGTTACAAAGCGACCTTGGCAAGTATACTTTTTTGTGCCATTTCCATGGATGCATGTTGAAGAAGGATGTGTGGAAACACGGCCGTTTCGCTGGCGACGTCGCATGCCTGTTGGAAGCGCGGCGTGTGCGGGTGCGGGTGTGGGTGCGTGAGGCCTCTCACGAGTGAAAGGGCGCGCGTGTGCGCGCGTGCGTGGGAGGGGGCGTGGCAGTGGCGGAACGCGGCCAGGGGGTCGCGGGCGCGCGCGTGCTGCCCTCCCTCGCATCTAATTGCCAGAGACCGCGTCGCACTGCTCGCCCGAGGCGGCTCAACTAAGAGTTGGCGCTGTATTCGCTAAGGCCTGGCGCAGGCGTCTTGTGCGGCGGGATTCAGTCGGCTTGTGTGTGTGTGTGTGTGTGTGTGTGTGTGTGTGTGTGTGTGTGTGTGTGTGTGTG